CACCAAGGCCCCTTGGTAGACTGACTGTGGTTGGAGTGGGCTCAGGATTGGGGAGTCCTAGCGACAAGCCTTAGCAGGACCTAGAGTTGTAGCTAGGGTGGGTGCAACTTGTGGAGAGTTTGGGGCCAATCCATACTGGGAGGCCATTTGGAGTTGCAGTTGGAGTGGGCTCAGGACAAGGGTAGCCTTGGGGACAAGCCACACTGAGGCCTAGATCTGTAGCTAAAGCAGGCATGGTCTGCTAGATATGCTGGAGGTAAACCACATAGGCTGGAGATATAGTTTGAGTGGGGGAGGAGCCACGGGGTGTTTCTGGGGTAGGTCTCAGAGCTGGTGTTGGCCTGGGACCTGGAGTGTACTGAGATAGTCTTGGCAGGCTGGCTAGAGTGCCTGGATCACTCTCTTGCCATTCATTAGAGGGGAAGGGCCACCAATGGTGTTCTCCAGTGCCGGTGACACCAGAGAGAGTTCCCCAGTTACATTCCTGTGGCAGAGACTCTAGGATTAGTAAATGGATTTCCTTCCCATATAGTCTAGGAGCCCTTTAAACCAGTTTTTTTCAGTGTGCCCCAGGGCTGCCAAGTTTGTGAGTAGGCCCCTCAGTGATCTTTCCCTACTGCAAGTTGATGTTTGATGATAATTTCCGTGGTACACTGCCTCCATTTCTCCTACCCATTTCCATGTGGTCTCTCTCTCATTTGTTGTGCAGAAGCTATTCGGTCTCAGCCCTTAGTTTTCTTTAGAGGAATTTGTCTGTAGGTGTAAATTTGTTGTGTCCCTGGGAGGAGGTGAGTTCAGGGTCTTCTTGTACCAGAGGCCTGAACTTCTGATTTTAAATAGCTATAAAATTAGTTTTCTATTTTTAATATACTCAGAGACCCATTTATTAAGATTTTCTACATCTTCAGATAGCAACAATTTTTAAAGAGTTAATAATTCAGAATATATTCAGTCCAAGGTATTTTATTTCATGTGCATGTTAAGAGTAAATCATACTTAAATTTTTATTGATGCCAATTTAAATTGTTTTTATTTAAATTTAACTTTCATTTTAACTACTTTCTGTGCTCCATTTATCCAAATAATAAGAATTAGTGTGGAAGAGGTAGAAGATCAGTATTTCTGCTGAACTCAAGGGTAAATGTAGGGTAGGTCTTATAGAAACACTTAGTCCTATAAACTCTCAGAGAGAAGAGTACTACTTGAGAAGTTTTGTTCTGGGTAAGGGAAAAGCATCTTTCCTTGGGTTTGTAATAAACTTGCCTTATACTCCTCTGAGTTCTTTGATTTATAATATATAAGAGAAAATGTTTTGAAATATAGTATAAATGTATATACTAAGTTTTTTCAAAGGCATTTATTAAATTACAGTTACAGTTGAGATTGAGTCAGGATAAGGGTGGTTGTGATGGTGGTTCAGATACAAGATATGCTTTGGAGGCTGAATTTACAAGACTTGGTGATGGGTTGAGGGGAGGAGGAGACAGTGTGATGGATTCTCATAGTTTCTGGTTGTGCACCTGGATACACATGCCATTCATGGAGGGAGAGAACACTGGAAGTTAAAACTCTGTGAGCAGAAGATCACATTCTTATTCTGTCCTGTCTTTATTTCAGTTTATCCCTTTCTCTGGCATGCTCATATCTTCTCCAAAGTTTTCTTAAATCCACTCTATCTTGTTTCTCGCTCTTATGTAAAGGCCATTTTTCTTGCTTTGTCAAGGCTGTCTGTTAGGCCGTATGTACGTCACACTCATTCTTTTGCTTATGTTTCCTTCATGGGAACATTTCCCACTTCCCAATCTGTTAAAATCCTAAGTTTTTCAGTGCTCAGCACAAAACCTTCCTCATTATTAAAGCCTGTTAAACTTTTTCACTTCCCTTGGACTCCCTTGTCCCCAAAACCTTAAAACACAATTTGTTTCACATAACTTAGCTCTTAAATAGATAATATCATTTTGTGTGTTTTTCTTTAGTTGCTATTTTCACCAGATTCTTATAATATATGATTATTATTTTATATACTATATTATGTTATTTATACATAGTTATAATGTTAATCAGTGCTTATTCTAGGCTGTTATTTCATTCACTACATCTACAGCCTTGTGGAGAAGGTGTTTGTATCCATTTCACAGATAGGGAATCTAAGGTTAGGCTATGTTGCTAAAAAGTAGCGGAGCTGAAACCTAAGCCCATACTCTAAATACAGGGGTGGGCAAAAGTAAGTGTACAGTTGTTCGCATGGAAAATAATACAGTAATTGATAAATAGTAATACAAGAATAAACTTTTGCATACTCACAACTGCAAACCTATGTTTTCCCACCCGTGTATATAGTCTCAAGCCTGTTGACTGCTTGAGACCTAGTGCCCTATCTACTGAGTTCTTACTGTATGTCAGATATTATTCTAGGCAGAAAAATAAATTAGTGTGTAAAACAGATGGAAATTCCTGCCCTTGTGCATTTTACATTCTTGTAAAAGGAGACAGATAAGATAAAAAAAAATTGGTGAAGAATATGTTATTAGTTAATATAAGTCATAGATAAAACTGAATAGGGAAGGGGATAAGGAATGTGCACATGTAGGGGTTGGTGCTGCCATTTTAAACAGTTATCAGGGAAGGGCTTGCTGTGAACCAAACATAAGCACAGTCATGAAGGAGGTACAAGAATAAGTCTGTGCCTCATTAGGGGAAGAAGATTCCATATGGAGGCATAGCAAGTGCAGAGGTCTAAAGGCAAAAGAGTACCTGACATGTTTGAAAAATCAAACAGGGCAAAGTGGCTGAAATGGAGTAAAGGAAGGGGAGCGAGGTAAGAGGTGAAAGCAGGCATAACTAAGGGCTGTATTAAGTAGGACTTTTCCTCCAGTGAGATGGGAAGTCCTTGGAGGGTTTTGAGCACAGAAGTAAGATGATCTCACTTAAATTTTAATATTAAGTCATGTATTGCTGATGTTAAAATAGACTGCAGTCAGGCAAGGGTGGAAGAGAGACCATTTAGAAGCTATTTTGCAGTAATCATGATGCGGAGGGTTTCAGCTTGAACAAGGTGATAGTGGCCATGAAGGCGGTAAAACGTAGTCAGAGTTCTGGATATATAGTATTCTGAAGGGAGAGTTAAGGTTTTTGACCTCAGCAACTGGAAAAACAGAATGAGCTGTTAATTAAGATGTGGAGGACTAGGAGCTTGGTTTGGTTCAAGCTAAGTTTGAGATGCAGATTGGTGTTCAAGTGACAGTGTTGAGTATGCATTTAGATATATAACTCTGGAGTTAAGGAGAGAGTTCTAAGATGGAGATATAAATGTGGGGCTTTATTTAAAGTCATGATACTGTATGAGATTGCCAATGGAGTGAGTGCATTTAATGAAAATACAAAGTCCATGGACTGAGGTCTGGGACCCTCCAAGCCTAAGAGGTCACAAAGAAAGGCCACACAGTAAAGACCACAAAGAAGGAGCAGTCGGAAAGGAGGAAAGCGAACATAGGGTCCCAGAAGCAAAAAGAAAGCAGTGTCTTAAGTAGCAGAGTGGTCAGCTGATTCAAATACCAAGGGCAGGTCAAAGCTGAAGAAGGCTGGGGATTAACCTTTGGCTTGAGTGGTACCTATTGGAGGGCACTGGACTTGCCACAGAATGCCTATTATCATTACCAGCAAATCTCCATCACTAAGTGGTTAGTTTGACAACCTGGTATGTTTGGAGTTAAACGGTTTTGCACATTAGTCACATAGGATGTGACCTGTGTCCTCCAAGGATTTAAAATTTTGTTGGGGAGCTAGGTATATACATAAAAAGGTAAATAACCCAGGTCAGTGTCTTTTAGGTGCCAAATGAGTAGTATAGACAAAACAATGCCATAGGATTTTAGGAATTTAGGAAATTTCTCAGATGGTTATGTGGCTGTTGAACGTTTCAAGAGGGACATGAAACTTGAGATAGGCACTTGAGGGATAGTAAACTTTCAGCAGAAAGGAGAGGAGGGTAGAATGAGGGTAGACAGAGGTTAAGGTGGGCATTCATGTGACAGGAAATAATTTTCCAGTGAGGCATTTATTTTCAGGGCTTTCAAACTTAATATTTTTACTAGCATAAATTTCTAGTTAGATTAATTGAGTTAGATTTTTTTCACATATAAGATAGTTAGAAAAACAAAATGGGTGAAAGTTAATTTAAAAAATGTTATTTAGAAACAAAAAGTATATACAGAGATGTATTTGAAAGCAGTTTTCTATGGCAGCTGGTATGATACCCAAAAATGAAATTTTATTTTAAACTAAATGACAGGTTTTTTTCTTAAACTCTTAATATCATCTAACATGGTACATGAGGCAGAGTTTATAGGATTACTGTATACAAGGCTTGTACTTAGTAGTGATAGTGGCAAGAAACCTAATGGCTTCTTAGTGTAGGGTAACTGCCATTCTTTTCTCAGCCTTTTATTTTACTCAGAAAGGAGATAACTTACATTGAAGTGGGCAGAAACTTAAAAACCATATAAAAGGTTATCTGGAAAAAATAAAAACTGTGTTTGTGGCAAACTCTAAAATACATATAAAAGCTCTATACACATAAATGAATGGCAAAAAGTGCTAAATTCAAAAATACAGATGAATAGCCTGAGCTGGTTTGGCTTTTTAAAACAAAACAAAAAATTAGACATGTCTTAGTAACTTTTTTTTCATACACATATGAATAGATAGAAACACTTTGAAATTTAATTTTTTTTTCTTTAGCTTCCTATTAACTCTTTTCATTTAGGGTATAATCTAAGGCTTTGGATTATTACTATGTCAGTTGAATTTGTTTTTCTGATAAAGAGATAATTATGATGTAGAAATATTTATTATGTGCCTAGAATATGTTGCAGCTGTGCTTCCTCTTTGAAAATCATCACTTTAAGGGCATAGTATAAAAATGATCACATTATAATTTTAACAGGTATGTTCATTTTCTTATGTAGTTAAAGATGTTTTCTTTTGAATTTTATTTTTAGAGACTGTCATGGAGTTCCTTGAGAAACTATCTGACAAGCTTTCAGAAAGGTTAGTTTTTATTCTCCTTAGAATACATATTATTTGGGTTTTTTTGTGTGTGTTTTTTAAAGACTTGATTTATAAAAAATTAGGAAGTGACTTATTAAGAATGGAAGTGTTGGAATATTGGTCAGATCTGTGGACTGTTGAGCAAGAGATTAAATGAACTATGAGATATACTGTACTTTGAAAGCACATAGTTGTTTTCTAAGGTGACAACCTTGAAAACTTAGGCCGTTGCCTCTGATTCATTATTTGTCTTTAGGAAATCATTGATGTGTAACTTTAAAAATTTTCAAATGTTTTTGAAACTATATATTTTAGTTTGTACCATCATTTTATAACAAGTTTAGAAAATAATATTTTTCTTATTTTGGCCTAAATATTGGCAGCCCACAGATGTGGTAAATTGATCTGTATTTTGATTTTGTGTATTTTAAGAATGCTGTGCTTCACCATTTGTAATTTCAAGCTGAAGTGTTTTACTCTCTACAGTGAGTCCCTTTGTTATATTCATGCCTTCCCTTCTTCCTGATGCCCATTCTTTTTGATCGTGTCACTTGTCCTTCACTAGCACTCTTCTAGTGCTTTGTTGTGGGGTAGAACTCCAATATGCATCAGATACCTAGGATTCCAGGAAGCAGCTTGTCATGGTTTGTAAAACAGGGTGATGTTCTGGAAAAAGTCAAGAACCATATGATTTCGCTCATATGTGGGATATAAAAGTAAAATAAACAAATGAACAAACAAGACAAACAGACAAAAATTCATAGACCCAGACAACAGTATAGAGATTGCCAGAGGGAGAGGAGCTTAGGGGAAGTAGTAAAGGGTAAAGAAGGTCAAATATATGGTGATGGAAGGAGATTTGACTTTGGGTAGCAAACACACAATGCAATATACAGATGATATATCATAGAATTGTACACTTGAAACATACATAATTTCATTAACCAATGTTACCCCTATACATTTAATAAAAAGAAAGAGGGTCATCTTCTCTCATTTCATTCTTATAATGCTGTCTAAAATTTTGTTTGCCTTTTTGACTACACTGACATGTTAAATTTTAGCTCAAATGTCCATTTTCTATTATAAACTCATGCCTTAGAATCTAATCCTCTCTAATTTGGATTCTATTTATAAATTCTAAACTTTTCTATTAATCCAGTAAACCACTATGACTTTGATATAATGAAGAGGAAGCATTAATTATGCAGTTACTTGAGAATTTATTCCACTTTGCTTTGTTGATTAAGTGTTAGTATTCTTTCTCCACTTACATGTAGCTTAGATTGTATTTTGAGCAAACATCCTCAGGTTTTTAGTTATATATAGGAGTTAATTCTAACAGAAACTTCATATTCCACATATTATTAAGCGTGCATTTGATTATTGTCCACCGAGTGTTTTTCTATAGGGGAAAAATTATAAATAGTAATCTTAAATATCTGTTAATATTCTTTAACATATATAGAAAGTAACATGTTAGTTTCTTACCTTTTTAAGGAATAGCAAAAAGTAGTGATTTAAAGTTTGTGCAGATTAATACTTTGTATGTTTCTGTTATATTGCTAATTTTTCCAAGCTTTAGTACTTTCAAGACATGTATCTGTCAGAATGCTTTTTTAAGACAGAAATTGCCATCATTTACTTCTAACGTGTAAAATTGGGATTGATACTGGTTTGTTTATATTTGCACGACAAATTACTTCCAATTTAATCATGAATATTGGAATGTAACATATGCAAACTAGTTTTTATCATATAATTACTAAAATTCTGTTCTATCAATTAATGACAAACCTTTTTACAGAACTATAAAAGATTTTGAGATGATGCGAGGAATGAAAATGAAACTAAATCCTCAAAATTCTGTAAGTAACTATGTTGGAACATTTTTATTATAACATAAACTGTCTTTCGGTTGAGGTCATTATCATTTGAATCTAGAACTTTCTTGTGATATGCTGAAGGTGTATATTGTTTTATTTCTGATCCTTGGTTTTGGTGAATAAAGGCATTGAAATATTTGATCCATATGTCTATGAGTCTGACATTTCCAGGAAATCCAGTATATCTTTGTTGGTTAGTTGACATAATATATATGTGCATGCATATACACAGAATACTGGCCAAGTGATTGGGGTACCCTGAGAGTGATGGGATTCCAGGTATTAGGGCCCTGCTTCTCATATTGTTTGAGGGAGCTACAGGATTGCTGGGATTGTCTGTGCCATTCTGTAGGTGCTTTTTTATCAGCTTCCCAGCTGCAACCACTCAGAAAGAGATTAATGCTATTAAATTCACCTATTTCTAGAGTAGCATGTCAGTTTCTTAATTTATGGTAGGAGCTGTATCTAGCAAAGTAACTAGTCATGTGTGCACTTTCACTCTGTAGGCAAATCCACTTAAGAAACTAGATAATGGGTCAGAATTTACTTTGATGAATATAGAAACAGAAAAAATAAAATGTCTTGCTAAAAGCTAATATATTAAAAGCTAATATTACTTGAAACTATTCTCCTTAAACATTTTTATATAGCCATTGAAGGTTATTTGGCAGACATTTGTTAAATGCCCACCTTCTCACAAAGTCCTAGTTTGGTGAATGGTCCCACTCGAGGCGGAACCTGGACTTAACTTTAGACCAGTGGTTCTCAAAGTGTGTTCTCTGGACCAGAAGCAGTAGCATCACCTGGGAACTTGTTAGAAGTACAAATTCTCAAGCCCCGTATGAGGCCCACTGAGTCTTAAGTCCCACAGTCTGTGTTTCAAAAAGCCCTCCAAGTAACTTTGCCCCACCCCCTTATAATCAGTTATCAAGTCCTATAGATTCTACCTTCTTTAGAACTCCATGTTCCCTCCTCTTCATGCTCATTGCCACAGCCCTGGTTGAGGTCATTATTACTTCTTCTCACCCAGATTGTTGCCAAACTGGCTTTCTAGCCTTTTGTCTGGATCCTCTCAAAGCTATCCTGGATTCTGAGTGCTTAGCAATGTGCCTAGCTCAGTGTTAGACACAGAGTAAGTACTCAGCACCTCTTTGAAATATACAAGTTAATTAACTAATTAATTAATTACCAGCAGAGGGATTTTTCTAAAAAGCATACCTGATATAATCACTGTCTTGTTTAACATTTTTCAGTTGCTCCATGTAATTGTTAGATTTGTTTTCTGATTTCTTAGCTTTTCCCACCAAGCCCTTGGTGATTTTGACCCTACCTGCTTCTCTAGCCTTATCTTCTGCTGCCCCTATCAGCCAAATTAGTGTCCTTTTGTTCTCTACCTGTGTGGTGCTCTTGCACTTTGTTTGCTTACTTTAGCTTTGCTTTCCTTTCCTTTCCTTTGCTATTCTTTAATTCTAACTGATATTTATATGCCAGCAACTGTGGTAGTTAGCTTCCAATAATTCACAAATATCATACACAGAATGCCTTTCCCCCTTTCTCATCTTGACTTAGTGCTCCTATTCTTCAAAACTTAACTCACCATCAAATATTTCCTGATTCCATTGTTTTTAAAATACCTCTCCCCTAGGCTCTGTGTTACATGATACAACATCATAGACACGATATACCATTTGTTTCAGTGCTCTCAAATTGTTGACTCAATTATCTTTCTACTGCCTGCAACTTCATTGGCCCCTTGTCACAGGGATCATGTCTGATTTTTTTTTTTTTTTTGGTATAATTAGAGCCTGTACTCTGGCATCTAGCATACAGTAAATGATCACCTGTTGGAGGAAATATGTGCCAGGAACGGAACACTCAGGGACTAGAGTTCCAGGAATGCTGTCCCTGACATTCACAAGCTCATGGGAAGAAAGAAAATAAACCTACAAATATCTTACATTGGTGTACATCAGTGATAGACATATGATCATAGAATATGAGAAAAAAACCTTGTTATTCAAGGAGATAATATCTAAAGTGAAATTTGAAGGATAATGGTAATAAGGATAGATGCTAACATTTATGGAGCTCTTATTCAATGCCAGCTGTTCTATTTAATAGTTTAAGTGCATTAAGCAATCCTGTTTGTGACGTGCTGTTAACTCAAGTCAGCAAATAGCTATTGGATGAATACTATCAGGCAGTGTTCAGAGTACCACCAGGATATAATAGGGAAAAATGCACACAAGTTCCCTGCCCTCGTGAAGCTTCATTCTAGGGGAAGAAAGCAAAATAAACACATGAAAAAATAAGTAAAATGTGCTGTGCCATATGGTGATATAAAAGCTATAGGTATGACATTGAAGAAAGAAATTAAGGAAGATATAAATAAGTAGAAGCATACACCATGTTCATGGATAGGAAGAACTAACATTATTAAAATGTTCATACTACCCAAAGCAATCTATAGATTCAACACAATTCCTGTTAAAATACCAATGGCATGTTTCACAGATCTAGAAAAAAAATATTCCAGAAATTTATATGGAACCAAAAAAGATCCCAAATAGCCACAGCAATCATGAGAAAGAGGAACAAAGTTGGAGGTATCACAGTACTGGATATCAAACTATACTACAAGGCCATTGTAATCAGAACATCCTGGTAGTGGCATAAGAACTGGCATATAGACCAGTGGAACAGAACAGAGATCCCAGAAATCAACCCAGGCCTTTAAGGTCAATTAATATTTGACAGAGGAGGCAAGAGCATACAATGGAGTAAGGATCGTCTCTTAATAAATGCCATTGGGGAAATTGGACAGGGACATGCAAAAAATGAAACTAGACCAACAACTTACACCATACACAAGAATAAATTCAAAATGGATAAAAGACTTAAATGTAAGTCACGAAACCATAAAATTCCTGGAAGAAAACATAGACAGTAAAATCTCAGACATCTCTCGCAGCACTGTTTTGCCAGTGTGTTTCTGAGGGCTAGGGAAACTCAGGAAAAGATGAACAAATGGGACTACATCAAGCTGAAAAGCATCTGCACAGCAAAAGAAACCATCAAGAAATGAAAGGAGAACCCACCGTATGGGAGAACGTATTCACCAGTGATACATCCAATTAGGGGTTAATTTCCAAAATTATATATATATATAATTTATACAACTCAACACCAGGAAGACAAACAGTCCAATTAAAAAATGGACAAAGGACCTGAATAGACACTTTTCTAAAGAGGACATACAGATGGCCAATAGACATATGAAAATATGCTCGAGGTCACTAATCATAAAGAGACATGCAAATTAAAATGACAGTGAGGTATCACCTCACACCTGCTGGAATGGTTACCATCAATCAACAAAAAGCAAGTACTGACAAGGATGTGGAGAAAAGGGAATGCTAGTACTCTGCTAGTGGAAATGCAGACTGCTACAGCTATTATGGAAAACTATGGAGTTTCCTCAAAAAATTAAAAATGGAACTGCCTTTTGACCCAGCAATCCCACTTCTAGGAATATATCCTAAGAATCTCAGAACACCAATCAGAAAGAATATCTGCATCCCTATGTTCATAGCAGCCTTATATACAATAGCCAAGATCTGGAAACAGCCCAAATGCCCATCAGTAGATGAGTGGATAAAAAAGCAGTGGTACATTTACACAATGGAATACTACGTGGCTTTGAAAACAAAGGAACTCTTGCCCTTTGCAACAGCATGGATGGCCCTGGAAAGTATTATGCTAAGTGAAATATGCCAGTCAGAGGAAGACAAATACCTTATGATTGCACTAATATGTGGAATCTAACGAACAAAATAAACCAATGAACGAAATGGAACTGGCAGCATAGATACATAGAACAGACAATAGTGTGGTGAAGGCCAAGGGAGGCAGAAGTGGGTGTGTGTGGAGGGGGGGCAAAAAAGGGGAAGGGGAGACATCAGTAATGTCAACATTAAAAATGTTTAATAAAAATATGAAATAAACAAAGGCTATAGGAAAAATAATGCAGAGAAAAGGGGGCAGCAGTTGCTCTTTTATATGTATTGTCAATAAGTGGACACTTGAGCAGAAAATTGGAAGAGTTGAGGAGTATGCCATGGAGACCGCATGGAGGAGGGCATTCTATGAAAGAACCAGCAAGTTCAGAGGCCTGAGGCAGGAGGCTGCCCTGCGTGACCAGAGATCAGTGAGGAGGCCAGTGTGGCCAGCGTGGAGTGAGGGAGTGGGAGAGTTGCAGGAGGTGGGCTCAGGTTTCGCTCCTGGTGAGATCCGGTCACATAGGAGGAAAACAGGAAAGCATCAGTGTGCAGAAACAACTTTTCCAAGTCTTAAAACTAGTGTGGATCAAAGTCTTGAACCTAAGCAGTCTGACTTCACAGCCTTGTCTCTTAACCATTCTTTTGTCACCTGTACAGTTTGTTGGGAGGATGATCCTTTAGGGATTCAAGCTTGTCTTTCATTGTTCTGTACCAGTTGTCAAAAACAACGTTATTACAATATTTCTCTATGACATATTTTCTTTGCCACGATTAGAGTTAATTCTGCTTTAGTTACATTTTAAATTGTTGCTTTCATTTTTGGGATCTACCCTAAGCTTCTTGCTTAGGTTTGTAAAGAACCTAATCTTACCTTTAGTACACTAATCTTACCTGCATTATGTGTTATGGATTAGTACATGGGTTACATTTTGGGAGAAATTTCAACATGGCTAATTTAATCTATTAATGTCGACTTTCATTAGTTTACATTTTAAAATGACATTGGTTTACCTTTTCCCCAAATTCTGAGATTATGCCTTATTTATAACTCTTTATTCATTGATTACAAGAAAGTTAAAATAAAGAGACAGGTATTTCCTTCCAAGTCACGAGTTTTTAGGGTTTTATAGAACTTTTCTGATATAATTACAGGTTTACACTTTGTAAACTAGCTAAGTTATTGATAAAAACTGTGAAATAGTCAATAGCTTTCATAATGATGAATTTTTCATTGTAGGAATTAATGCCTTGGGATCCCCCCTACTACAGTGGTGTGATTCGTGCAGAAAGGTAAGTTTGAGAAGGAAGAAAGAAATTAATATTTATTGATCACTTTGCACATTAATTTTGCAACTACTTTCCTCACTCAGTTGCCCACGTTACAAACCTCTCTCTTCTCCAGTTCAGTCCCTCTGCTGGCATGGTCAGTATCTGCCCACATTTTCCTTGTTTAAGACTTTAAAATATCTCCCCAGAGTGTCTAGAATCTGGCCCCTCTCTTCCTGGGTGTAGCTTCCAGGTTCTCTTTCTAGACTTTGAGCATTTGGAGGGCTGGGACTTTGCTAGAACCCTGTTGTATCCCATTTGTGGTTGAGGGTAGGTGCTCAGCAAATATTTGTTGGACCAATGAAGGAATAAAGTGATACTTGGCATGGTGCTGTGTGATTTTTTTACGTTTTTTCATTTTTATTTGAACATATTATCAACACATTGGCACATCTGGAAGGATATAAATGAAATAAAGAATTAGGAAACTTAAGTTGATTGAAGTATTCCTTTGGCTGCTGAATTCTCCTGTTTTTTTTATTGTGATAGAGTTGTAGATATTTTTCCCCTAAAAATTCCCTATTTCTGTCATTTTTATATTTGCATGTAAACCCAGTAAATATGGAGTTCTGTTCAAAGTGAACACATTTAAAAATGTTTATGTCCCAAGTAACTTTATATGCACAATAGAAATTTTTAAAAACTCTTAGAATCCTACCCTCTAACAAATTGTTAACATTTTTCTGTTTCTTTTTGTTTTAATCCCCACCCGAGGATATGTTTTATTGAATTCAGAGAGAGAGACGGTTGGGCGGGGGAGACATAGATATGAGAGAGAAACATTGATCAGTTGCCTCCCTTATGCACCCCAATGGGGGGTCAAACACACAACCTAGGTATGTACCCTGACCTAGAATCAAACCTTCAATCTTATGGTGCATGGGACAGCACTCCAACCAGCTGAGTCACCCAGCCAGCGCTAACATTTTTCTCTTACAGTTGATTTTTGAGGTATGCAGTTTAACTAAGGTAGTTAAGATTGATTTAGGTAATGGAAGAAAATAAAAGTTTTGTGTCTTTTTCTTCATTAAAACATGTTGGCATATATCATGATAATATATTTATTTGATTGATATTAAACTTCAAAATGTTTTTATTACTATGTATTATTCAAACATTAAATACTAAATACCTCACTAAACTTAGACTTTATTTTAATGATTTCTTTTGACATTTGTCATAAAACAGAAAACAATAACTTTATATGTTCTTTTCTGCACCAGCAGGAAGAGGTGCTTTAACATCAAATATTGTTGAAAAGTTCACCCATTTAATTTTTATTTATCTTCCCCTCTTTGGGTTCTTTATTATATCTCTGTTCCTCAAATCAGTTTACTGACAAAGCACAGTTGTCTCATAAGCAGTACTAATATTTCATCAAATGCTATTTTTTTAAAAATATGTTTTCATTGATTTCAGAGAGAGAGGGGGAGAGGGAGAGAGAGAGAGAAACATCAATGAGAGTCATCGGTTGGCTGCCTCCTGCACGCCCCCCACTGGGAATCAAGTCTACAACCTGGGCAGGTGCCCTGATAGGGAATCAAACCATGACCTCCTTGTTCATAAGTCTATGCTCAACCACTGAGCCTTCCCGGCTGAGCCATCAAATACTACTTTTTATATATTATCTCAAATTCAGCATGTCATCTTTTCTATGAAGGCACATAAACTGTTATTTAAAATCTGTAATAATTTGATTATGATAAACAGTGAGTACTTAGAATATACTATAGCTTAACAGAAGGTACTGTTTCACTAATATGTTTTATGACTGCAAAACTGCAGATCCTGCTCCCTATAGTTGCACAAAAATATAATTTATCTTTTAAAATTCTTTCAAAGAAAGATTTGACTTTACTGATTGGCCTGTTAAGATGTAGCATAAAGGAATACTAAATTTTTTTTATAATGCTTTCCATATTAATATATATTTTTTATTTTTGACATTGAAAAGTAATATGTTCAATATATTTGTTTCTTTCTAAGTTTTTGCTGTGTGATTTTTATGTGGTATTTGTCCGCATCATGTCCCCCACAATTCTCTAAATTAATGCCGAAGCCTTAAATTTAAGTAATATTTTTGTCATTTAACTGTATTCTGTAAGTATAGCATGCCCAAATGGTTGTTCTATGGAAGTTACGTGTGAATATTGGAAGATTTGGAAAGATATAATCAATTGGAATTTAAAGGAGATGTATTAGGGGGATAAGATCCCTGTGCAGTTTGATACTGACCTTAAACAAAAGCTATTGAATAAAGGGTAGTGACTGCCGCTTCTCCATTTCTATAAAAAATATAACATTGGAAAGTCTTTATGTTGCTGACATAAAGTCCCTCAGTCCCCAATTAAGTTGGGAGTTCTCACTCTTTTACACCAACCACATAGATGAGGTTTTATTGTCCAAATGGGCTACTTGAAAGAATGGGAACCCCTGAGGCAGCAGGACAGTGTGGCCAGGAGCATGTTTCCTGAAGTCAGGAGCCTGGGCAAATCCTGGTTCCACCACTAAATTAGCTACACAAAATCTTTAGAAAGTTATTTATCCTAAGTTTCTTAGCAAGGTTATATATAAAATGAGGGTTATCATAGTCCTTACTTCATAGGTCAGGATTAAATAAAATAACGTTTGTATTAAGAGTACTAAAATAACATTATTATATGGATTTGGCCATCTGTGGACATTCTTCTAGAGAATGGTCCACTCTAAAAGATGCTTTTTAAGTGTTCTCAAAAACCTTTCAAAGGGGAGGCCAGTTCTCCTTTAAAGCTTCTCTAAGGAAATACTGATCTAAAATGTAATGAGTGTATCTATCGAATTAGTTGTCGAATGCTCATCAGAAAAGCTTTAGATGATAGATTAAGGATACTGAATCAGGAAAATCCATCCTGCCAGTGTTTCCCAGCATCACTGTGTCCAGGGTGGAGGAACCCTGTGTGGCTGGCAGGACAGCTCACTTTTGGACCCTTCTTCCCTTTTCAGGGTTGTAGGATCACTACTGCCTTCAAAATAAAATTGGAGTTGTCACTCAAGGCCTTCTGGGATCTGATCACAGCCCACTCTTCTTTAACAATAAATACATAAACACACAGTTATTTGTTGTGGATAGCCTGTCCTTCCTCTTCTCTCCCATAACTCCTCTCCCTCCACGACTTATATAAGCCAAACTAAACTCTCTGTCCCTCTCCCAGGTCCTTTCTGTCTCAGAAGAGCCTGTATCTGGTGGCTAGTAAGGTTTCCTTTGCCCTCCTTCGCTGGCTTTCCTATGAAATTTTGCCGAGAGTGTAAGAAGCCTCCAGGTCTGAACTGGCCTGTGCAACTCCTGCTTTCACCATGCTTACAGCCTGTGTGCTACACAGTTGACCTAATTATATGTTCTTTTTGTCATTCTTTTAAATGTATCTTCTAAACCATATCTTAAAGCTCTTAAGAACAAAGTTTGTTTGCAGTTAAATACGGAATACACATTTTGGGCTTTCAGTAAATACATATTGGTTGTGTACAAAAGGTTGCTGCAGCTGATCCAGTGTGGTCAGTTGTCCCCAATCTGAGGTGAGGTAAAAGGAGAAACTTTATTTGGGTGAAGTTTACAAACTTTATTTCCCAAGTTTACAAACCTGGGAAACAGCCTCCAAAAGTAGGCTCCCTTGCCTCCTAGATGAAGTACCTGCCCTGGTCTCTGATTGGTCCATTTTTATGCAAATAAGGGAACCAACTTTGCACAACTTGATTGGTCTAAATAGCACTGTCCTAATTGGTTGGAATCATGTGTCCTGATTGGTCATTGTGGAGCTACTCTGATTGGTAAATCTTAAAGAGCAGCTAATTTTTATCTTTTTCAAGTTATAGTGGTAGATTCTTCATGGAAAAGTAAAAGCAAGTCTTTAAATTATAAAATATATTGAAATTATTTTATTTAAACTTAAGTTGTCTGTTTCCTCTTTTGGAGCGTTGCCCCATACACCAAAAGGTTTCAGGTTCAATTCCGGGTCAGGGCACATACCTAGGTTGCGGGTTACCCAGTTGGGGCATCCAGTTGATGTTTCTCTCTCATATCGATGTCTCTCTCTCTCTCTCTCTCTCTCAAATCAATGAAACATATCTTTGGTTGAGGATTAAAAATAAAATTTTGTTTTTGAATAGGCAGTAAATTAACATGGTTCAGAAAATCAAAAGCACATTCAAAAGTATTCACATTGAGAAGTTTTGATCTCATCCTGTTCTTGCTCATAGCCATCCTCCATGCCTCTGTGCCCAGGGGTAACCATTTTAAAGTTGTTTAATGTCTTCTTCCAGTGTGTGGTTCTTGTTTTTAATGCTTGGAGACTTTATTTCTTTTCTGCCAATAATGACTTTCAGTGAATCATGTTTTTTTCTTGTGGTGCTATTTTTGTATAAAGATATCATTGGGAAGTAGAATTCAGTATTGCCTATTCCTTGCTTAGGTATATTCTCAAAATCTCAAGAGCATTCACATAATGCAACAGGACATTTTTGTATTTTAAACTATTCAAAAAACATTGAACTCTCACAGAAGGATGGTATTGTAGCATTTCAAAAGAACAGAGACTTCTGTCCTGGCCAGGTGGTTCAGTTGGTTGGAGCATCGTCCTGTACACCAAAAGGTTTCAGGTTCAATTCCCGGTCAGGCATAAGCCTCTGTTGCGAGTTCAGTCCCGGGTCAGGGCACGTATGAGAGGCAACCAATCATTGTTTCTTACGTCAATGTTTCTGTCTTTTAGACCAATAAAGAAACAAAACATATCCTCAGGTGAGGATTAAAAAAAAAAATAAAGACTTCTGTTTGATATATGAAATTTATACTCTATTTGTTAGTATGTGTATAGTGAGCTTGGTGCTTTCAATTTTAAAAAAAATAACCTTTATTATGATAACATTCAAAATAAACAAATAGAAAGAATAAGTAACCTCCATACATTCATCTTTCAGATACAATAATTATC